AGCCGGTTTTTTTTTTTTTTTTTTTTTTTTTTTTTTTTTTTTTTTTTTTTTTGTATCTCAACTTCAAATTTGAAGTCCGTATCGAGGGAAAAGGTGAATTGATTTCAAATTCATAGCGTGAACGGCAGGGTGTACTAGCCTATTCCCAGATTCGAGGACGATTTCGAGTCCGTCCGTTCCGCTGTCTACGCACAGCGAGAGTAGGTACGCGCGAAAGAGCGGTGTAGAGGGGCCGCGAGTTAAGCGACGAGTCGCTCACCTTTTCCATTTGTCTGCCGTTGAAGAAGATGACTCGCGCTTGACTCACACCTCCCCACTGACTTTGCGCGAACCCCGGTATTCTCTTTGACGAGAATCAATTTTCTGACTGGCATAATCGCATGAAAGCGACATCGGATTGAGAATCCTCCTTTCTCCTCTGAATATAATAATCGAGATAGATATTTTAAACCGCATTTCTTCAAAATATACGTACGATTAATTTCTTTCTTCTTCGTATTGCCGTATTCCGTTAAAAAATTCTGATAAAAATGCGAATGTGCAAATCAGAAAAGTGATTAGAAATGCGATGAGTGTGTGCGACAAAGATAGAATCTTGAAGGATTGCACGATATAATAATATATAACGATTGTGCGGTATCTTGAGGAGAAATCTAAGAGTCCATCCTTTTTTAGCTATATCTTTCTACGTTTAAAGACGAAACAAATGTATATTTTTAATGACGGAAAGAGAAGGGAAAGAAAGAATTGTAGGAAAATGTAGAGAGTGCGAAAAGGACAGACACTTTGTTCGTAGCATGCTCGATTCCTGAAGGCGGCCTTCCAACTCGCGCGATCGTTAACACCCTACTTTTGTAGGCAGGATCCGGGACGTCAATTACAAGTTAATTACACATCATGCATATGTAAAAACGTTAATTATTATAATGACAAAATTAGTATATAGTATTAGTATATTTATAGTATTATGCATATTATATAATATGCATACATATACATATATAATCTTTTAGTACACTTTTTTTTTAACGTAAAGTTTTTCCACATTTCTTTACGTTATGAACGAGACAAAGGTTCGTCCTTTTTGAGAGAGAAGGGAAACGGAGAAAGGTGTAGAATGCGCGGTGGAAAAGGAATTGTTTATTATTGACGAGTTGTGTTCTATTCTGGTTTAATAGCGGGACATTCCCGAGCAAGGAATTCGATTTTAAAATTTTTGATCTGTTCGAAAGAGACGTGAATTCTTGTGCGTATTCGACTTTACATCAAGATTGCACGTTTACATGTAAATTTCATTTGCATATAAATGATGTTTGTTCGATCCGGGTTATAATGTCCGATTGCGAAAGTGGTCCAAATCACACATCTTTTGTTTAGAAATAATCGATTATGTTGAGTCTTGGTGCGTGTTTAAAATACACTTGTTGGCTCTAGCTTAGGGGAAAAGGCATAGATATCTAAAAGATATCTGTTCCGTGTTTATATATATTTCACGTGTTTATCTTTGGAATAATGATAACGTTTTCGGAATACTTTGTTTTTATGAAGTAAAATAGGGAATTAAATCATTTTATCCATATTTAAATCGCGTAATTATTTGTACATACTGAAGCAACTAGTTGGGGAGAATTGGAAAATCTTTACTCTCATTCTGTGCCAATATCTAATTTTTTATTTGAATGCAATTTAAATATAATTTGTTTGTGAAATTGTTCTTAGAAATACATAATCTATAAAAATCTCGAATTGAGGGGATGAAAGTGCCCTTTAACGTCGTGAGCTTTACTTCGAAATTAACCTCGATCAGATTAGAGTGGTAATTAATTAAATCGAGAGTAGAAGATCCTTATTTGGATCGCGTGTTAATGGAAGAAACGAAAAAAAAAATATATATATAATAGAAACTTGATAAACTTTACATATACAAAAGACTCGTAAACAGCTGTTTTTAGGACATTTAAAATTTATTTTTTATAAAAAATATACATATATTATACATATAATATAATAATTTAAATAAAACTTAAACATACACGCATTGCGTAGCGTTTATTGAATGTACAATACATTATTGTTAGAGTGAAATTTGTCTAACATAAATCTTCAGATTATGAAAACATATATACATTAACTGCGTAAACACCAGTATCTCGTATACACACACACATACACACATAGAGATATGTACACACAACAGTATACATTGCCGTGTTTGGGATTAACGGGGAAGACCTCGCGCGGATTTCCTCCTTCAACGAGAGATGGAATAATAATTTCACAAGGTGACGGAATCTTTCGCGGTAGCGATGGCCGTCGTTATTCACGTCGACCGATTACATATCGCGCTTGTAATTTCCTTCCGTTGCGAACGAAAGCGTGTCGGGACGGATGACAGCGACTTTGATAGTCCGATTGATAGTCCTCTCTCTATCGCCCTTCTCTTCTCCGTCTCTACTCCTACGATCTGACCTCGGCGCGAGCGCGTATCTCAATGAACCCCATTCCGCATTCAGCAAAATCGATCGACGTCTATTTCAGCCTTCGCCCTTACCGGGGCTCGACTTCTCTCTCCTCGATCAGACGAAAGAGTTAATTCCTGGAATAATTATTTAATAGAGAGATATCACATTGTGCGCGCGCGCACACATATGCATTAAAACGAGTTTTTTACAATGAATCGTGACGCCGAATAAAAAAGCATATAATCTGATTAATGGATTTGCTTTGATCCAAAAATAGATGTCGATGGATAAGAGAGAGAATTAACGGCGAATCGCGTAGAGCGAGAGATTTGTAATTCGCATATGTCTACAATTAAAATTAATATTTTTTGTATGATGTCATTCTTTGACATTGGTTCGTCAGTGAATCTTCTCACTGCGGATTAACGGCATTTGTAATTTCATGATTCATATGTAAAATGCAAATTTATGATACATGAGAGTATATGAATGATCGAAATAAATATTAAAAAATATAATGTAT